CCGCAGCCTGGCCGCCGCCCCTCCCGCAGCCCGCGCAGCCTCCATCTCAGCCTCTGCCTCGCGGCGAGGCCTGGGCGGGTCCTGGGAAATGTTTTCACCAAGAAGAAAACACGGAACGGCCGTAAAAACAGAACGGGCACAGCAAGGCGCGCCAGAAACTCCCGCACCAGCCTTCCTTGGCCAGGCCCCTCTGCTGGGTCCTGGGCGGTGGAGGACGCCTGGCCCTGGCGACGGCCGTTGGCCTCCTGGAACACCTGCCTGCGTCTGACCTCGGCCTCCTCCGGGAAGCCTCTCCGCCGGGCTCGCCCCTGACCTTGGCCCCACCGCCTCCCCGGAGGGGTGAGTCCACGGGCCAGGCCAGTCAGCACCAGGGACAGCGGCGGCACCAGGGGTCCTCTGGGGTGTGGTGGCCACCAGGAACGGTCCTCCAGTGGGTCTTGTTTGGTGCCGGGGACCTGGCCCGCTCCTGAACCGGCCTCAGCTCTCCCGAGAAGCCCGCACACACTAGGGGGCCGCCCCTCGGGCAGAGTGACCAAGCGAGCGCCCAGCAGAGGCAGGCAGGGCTTTCATGACCAGTGGGGACGCTCCCCACGTTCCAGCACGGCCTCGTGGGAGTGTTAGCTCAGGACTACTCTTATTACGACCTAAAAATGACCGGGAATGGGAGGAGCACTGCCCCTTGAAGAAAGGGCTCCTGACCCTAGGCCGTGGGGAAGCAGCGGGCGTCCAGGAGCTGGGCCGCCCCTCCCAAGAAACCAGGAAATCATACTCTGAGTTGCCCGAATTTATAGTTTAGAAACAAATTTCAATAGGGCTGGGGCTGTAGCTCAGTAGCAGAGCGCTTCTCTCACATGCTTGAGGCACTGGCTTTGATCCTCAGCACCACATAAAAAATAAATAAAATAAAGGCATTCTTTTCATCTACAACTAAAAAAGATCGGAAAAATAATGAAAATAAAAATGAAATGTTTTAATGTGAAATCCGATTTTTAAATAAAAATTAGGACTGGAGTGTAGCTCAGCAGTAAAACATTTGCCCAGCATGCATAAGGCCCTGAATTCGATACCCATTGCCGCAAAAAATAAAAAAATAATTTACTAAATAAACAATTGGCGCTGGTCGCGGTGGCTCACCCCTGCAATCCCAGCAGTTTGGGAGGCTGAGACAGGAAGATCGCAAGTTCGACGCCAGCCTCAGCAATTTAGCAAGGCCCTATGCAACTTAGTGAGACCCTGTCTCAAAAATAAAAAGCGGTGGGGATGTGGCTCAGTGTGTAAGTGCCTCTGGATTCAAATCCCCGTACCAAAAATAAATGGAACCCATGAAAACAAGTGCACGCAGTAACAAGCCAGACAGGCATATCTGCCCCAGATCCGCCAGTAGAAGGAAGCCTCAGCGTGCCCTGGGCCAAACCCAGCCCCCGGCACCTGAAGAAGAGCCTCCTGGCCCGCCCTGCCCCAGCTGGGGGTCCTAGCAGGAGTAAAAGAGCTTCGGCTGAAGACCGTGGAGGCGGAGGCGGCGAGCCCGGGCTGTGGGGACCGCAGCCCGGGGAAGGGAGCCGCCTTTGTCTGAGTCTCTCGCGGAGGGCGGGGACTGAAGGGATGGGGAGAGGACTGCACGCCAGGGAAGCCCTCCCCAAGTCCTAGAGGCAGAACTGAGCGTGCAGCCAGCTCCCTGCGGGCCAGGTGCCCCCACCTTCTCCATGGTGTGCTGCCCGGTGGGGGGGGATTCTCATCCCCTGGCAAACTTGCTGGGATCCCCCACTGTGCCTGCCAGCTCATCGCCCAGTGCCTTCTGGGGCTGGCATGAGATCTACGACTGGGGGAAAGGACCGCTGGAGTTTCAGGTGGTGGGTGCTGGAGGCCCCCCAAGGAGAGAGACCCTCAGATCCTGGCAGAGGTCAGGGAAGGCCCCTGGAGGGGTGACAACAGGAGCAGGCTGGGCCAAGCCTCCAGTCAGCCCTGAGGTGAGAACAGGACAGAGGTCACACTTGGTATATCCAGGAAAGAAGGCAGACTCCAGAAGGTGGGTCCAGCCAGGGAACAGCTCTTACTGTGTCCTTGGGGGTGGCCTACCCAGGTGTCAGTCAACCTGCTGACAGTGCACCTCATGGAGATAGACTCAGCCCCCTGAAACCTGACCCCTTGCCTCATTTGAATAGCTTCTCCTCAATAAAAGGGGTCAGCGCGTGCTCTCTCTCTTTCTGTGGCCCCTTAAGGTCAGAGGAGCCGTCACAGCAACCCCAAAGAAAAAGGTATTTGTGTCTCTTGTGTGGTTATTTCGCGCAGCCCAGTTAAACTGGAGTGACCCCCGAGCCTTTTAGTCGCGACAGCAGAAACCCGGCACCCCTCCTTTTTCTCCACGTCCACTTCCCCTGCTGGTCCAGGACCCCTTCACTGTCAGCTGTGACAGTTTGATGGTCAGTTTGCCCCTCAGCTCTCCAGGGTGGGCTTCTACCTGTGGTCAGGTCGAATTTCCTAAAGACA